GAAAACTATTCGCATAAATATATTAGAAAAACATTAAACTAAAAGTTCTCGACTTGTAGTCAATTAGCGATCAGAATGTGATTCAATGCTCACATAAAGCGATAGCAATTCAGTACTGGATCCCCACCTTAGTCTCCAAATTGCAGATTCACTTTCACTGTAAGACTCGGAGCTGTAAGACCTATACGTGAGTACTAAGTGTTGTGCTGTGAAGTGAATGCTGCGGGCATTGAGGTGGGGATCGGACATTGAAATGCACTGAACTATCGCTACCTTTTGGCGGAGACACTGGATGTCTGTGACGGCGACTGAAAGGCCTTTCAATGGACTGTATCTCAAGAAACGCATGGATTTAATGATACAAATCGTAGGGAAAAGTGAGAGAAAAGAGTTGAATATTTTTATTGAAGAAACATTTGAAATGAAAATACAGAATAAGAGAAAACATGTCAAATGTTGACAACATATGAGAGGAAAGGCACACAAACTGTGGAAATGGCTATGAAATAGACTTTTGCAACAAATTGGCCGTCAGTTTGGGTCCACACATGTGGTGGTAATCATGTGGTGATGTGATTGTAGCCATGGATGAGTGTGGATCTAGTCATGAATGTCTGATATAACAGGACTAGAGGCACAATCATCCAAAGTTGACACAATCAGACAGTGATCGCAATCCATGGCATGAGTGGGTCGACAGCCGAAGACACAACAGTTGAGACAAACAGACAACACGTTTGGCCACAAAAACAGTGCATTCAGTGATGGACTGAAAGGCCGTTTGAATGCATGGTATGAATGGAAATACATTACAATTTGGTTCATCAAAAACAAATGAACGACAAATTGATCGTAAAATGAAGGATCAGTTGATGGAAATGGCAGTGAATGTGATTCGTGTGAATCAGTGATCAGTTGGTGTTTCACTTCACACAACAGGTTGTCGTTTAGCAGTGAATACCATAAGAGAGCTATGGTTTGGAAATATAGCGAAAAATGAGTGGATTTTGTGATAAAAGTGTCTCAAAGTTAGCACAGATTTGTCTCACTATCTCTCACAGCACTGGTAGTGGTGGTGGTGTGGAAGGGAATGGAGGAATGGGTAGTGCAGAGAGCACAGGCACTACACCAGTACAGGCACTGGAGATGTAGTGCCCCTCCACTCAAGGCATCTATGAAATGCTAGTATCAGCCAAAGCCAAAGAAACACCATATTATACATACAAATACATGCCATACATATCGCGATCAGTGCACAGCCTATGCTTACAGTGAAGGCATTGAATGCCCGCACAATTGCATTCAATTCACTCATTCAATGGGAGAGTCAGTGAGAGAGAGAGATAGAGAGATAGAGAGAGAGAGACCTATAGAGTGAGGGAATGACAGAGAAATACATAGCATAGCGATAGTGACAGAGTATAGCATTCATTACACACAACGTTAGGCTTATATCGGACGGGAGAGGGACTGGAGGTGTTGTGGAGTCTGAGCGCACACCAGGACTGCACGACTGCCAGCGCTGTAGTGCTGTCTCTGTAACTCTGGTAACAACAGGCCCTCAATTGGCAACAAGTTTTGCACCACTCGTGCACTCATTGGCAGAGGCAGTGCCCAGCAAATGGTCCTCCGCGAGAGAGTATGGGAATTTCGTGCCCAACAACCGGTTTGCCTAACCATACGAAGCATACTATGCATACTAGCCCTGCGAACCACTCCATGGCAGGGGAGGGCAGGTGTGGGGGTCGACAGCCGCGCCGAGGGCTCGCATGCCTTTGCTATGCGAGTTGTGGTCGCCTTTCAAATAGTGAATCCAAAACAGGTTTCTCTCTCTCTCTCTCTCTCTCTCGCTCTCCACTGAATGCTGTTGTCATGCATTTGAAGACATCGTATTCGCAGACAATTTGCACGAAATTTCAAAATATAAATTGTTGTCAAACTTAACGCAAGTATTGGTATTTGGCGCCAAACCGGGCGCTCAGGTATTGGACGCATACGTCCGGCGCAACCACTCTATGCAGCGCTCAATACAAACGCACAGCAATTATAACTAATGCTAATTATAGACACAATTATGCCTCTCCTCGACATACCTGTGCTCTCATGTACTCGACTTATGACGCAAACATTGCACTAATGGTAACGACACTGACCTCAGCATCTCTATAGAGTGGACACACTTTCTATTCACAACTTTATAGGCTTTCCTATAACTCCACAATACATAAGACATGAATCGCTTGATTAGCGATTGTTTTACCCTTTTTTGTGGTCATAGAAAAAACTTTTTAAAACTTTTTATCTTAAAAAACTTACCCATAATCGAGTGGAAAGTTAGCCAAAAAGGTTTGATTGAATGGTTGACGGGTTTGTCGTTTTGGTGAAAGCATATGAAAAGTTTGAATAAATAGTTTCTCTGAAAACAAACTAATAATTGAATGAATGGTCGAAAACATTGTGCGAAATGTGTGTTTGGGAAGCAAATGAACCAAATATTGAATACTCATTGAACTCATGCCGTCTTATATGAGAATAAATGAGATGAGAGTATAGTTTTGTCGACAAATTTCGATGTATTGGTCAGTAGTATTCAGTGCTATTCCTCTGTATAATGTCATAGAGTGGGAGAGTATGGGAGAGTGTATTGAGTGCCTGTAGTGGTGGTAATGGCTAACCATTGGTCACTTGAATGGGGAAAAGGGTCAACGAATAAACAATGTGTACAATCATTGTACACGTATTGCTACCAAACATCACTTATTTCCCGATAAACAGTATTTGGGTCTAAAAATATCTGTTAGTCTTATGAGAAGTACTGTACCACTGCTTAGCCATAGTATCCCTAATAGTATCCCATAGTATCCCTAATCCCAAACCCAATATAGCTTTATAGCCATTAAAGGGCTCAAAGGAATGTCCGCTTTTATCATTTAATGGTCACCACTCTCTCCGGGCATATATGTGCCAAATATTTGTACTACTCATCCGTCCATTTCCTGTTCTCCTTTTGCCTCCCATTCCCCTCCCTTTCCCCTCCAATGGCTATATTTGTATTGACGAGAATCAAAGCAAATCACTTGTTTAGCCCTCAAATACCACACATTCACGCATTCAGTGCCCATACTATTCCCCCTCATATTTCAAGGATAATATTTGCCGTTTTCAATGGCCTGGTAGTCAAGGGGTGGCCATCACAATGACACTCAACTGCTCACTACACTACATACCAGTGCTGTCTAAGTACAGCCAACTCTGCCACCAAATAGCCTCAGGTTTGCGCCAAAAGTGCACTTTTTGGCCGAAAATGCTTTTATAGTAGTTTTCAGATTCTCTACACTTTTACTCAAAGCCTTATTTTACCTGAAATTTCAACTGAAATTAGCTTTGCTTTGAAACACACTTTCAAATTGTAGTTGAATTACAACTGAAACTGAAATTTCGTTTTCAAATCACATCCGACACTAAACCACAAAATACTCGGAATTTATTTCAAATGAATTTAATTTCAGATATTTTCAGTTATTCTCCATATCTCTCACTATTATCGCAAAGTGTCGGCAAATATATAATAAAAACATTTTATTGTATTTATAATTGAAATTATTTTGCAAAATATATTTTTGAGAAACCCTTTTGTAATATAATTGTTAAATTCATAATGTATTCACAATTATTGCTAATATTCTTTCCATAAAACTATAATTGCATTCATTATTCAAAGTTTGTGTCATTTATTGGCAAACTATTCAAACATTTAAAATATGATAAAAAAGTTTTTGTTTTTCGAGAGATTATTATTGATCGCAAAAGAAGTTTCAAATATTCAAAGACTTGAATTGCTTTAGCAGGCGATGCACTGCCAGTCCCTTCAAGTCGTGGACTTTTCTTTCTTTAGATAAGAATCCTATGAATCCTATAAGAGGTCGTCGATCCACCTGTTCATCAGTGTCTCAGACCTCAACACATCTCCACTCTTTTCAATCCTCTTTCACTTAATCTCAAGTTTTTCAATATTTTTCATCAAATAATCTCATCTTTAGATAAATATTTGAAAAATAAGTCAAAATATATTTAAGTTTTCATTGTTTTAGAGAAACTAATGAGTGCTGAGAGTGGGATCTGTTTGAGTGACCAGTGGTTTGGGATTGAAATGAGAGGATAATGAGAGAGCAGATGCTGTTAACCTCTGGAGGTATCCTTGAAGTGAATGCATGGCATGTCTAAGTCTTTAGTCTGACTTATAATACCTTTTCTCTCGTCTCTCAGAAAAGTTTTTTATTGAAAATATTTTTCAAACGATTATTAAAAGACGTTATACTCTGAGAACTCGTCGCAACTCTCGACTACTTTCGCCGCTCTTCTCTCGCTTTGATTCCCAAAACTCTTTCACTTATTATTGAAACAAAATTCAACTGAAATCTCAAATGTGAGGAAAATTATTCGCATAAATATATTAGAAAAACATTAATTCTTTAATCACTTTATATTTATAGTCATTACAAGTGATGAGAGGAAATGAATGACAAGATATGATAATTTGAAACATTTAAATATATGCTTTAAAAACTGATTTTGAGACAAAGAATTTTTATTTACAACAAAACATTAACTCAAATATATTAATGAATTTCATTCGGAATACATATTCAATGAATAACTATTTAATGGAGACTTAGTTTGTGATCGAAATTCATTTCTATGTCCATAGCCTATGATATTGAGTGACAATTCTTATAGTTCTTAGCCTTCGGACACTTTCTCTGCGATAATGAGACAACCGATAAGAGATGGACTCCGAGTGTCGACAACTCCACAGCCTTTCCATTCTGAGCCTATGCTAAGGTAAACGGCGTTTAAAATGCAATTCCTATCTCAACCCTCCCCTCCTATTATAAGCCATAAAACATAGTCACAAAACAAAAGTAGATAACAAAAAATACGGTCAACTTGGCGTATTAGCACACAATTACATTATACAGTAATACAAATGTATTAAAAAATATTTACAAAAACAAATTAATGAAAATTTTATTTAATTGATCGCAAAAAATGAATTGAAAAAATAAAATAAAATAAATAAAATTGTTGTCTATTTTCGGGCGACTTTCACGACTGGCGGCGGCATTAGATTGCGTTCATTACTGTGCGGCTCATTGAAGGGCCGTTTGAAGGCGACTCGCGTTCCGTGTCTTTCGATGTAATCCAAGAGAATCTCTTTAGTGATGGGATGCTTAATGGAGTGACAGACAGCCATAGCTGTGTTATAGCTGTTGGGGAACGACTTGTCGGTGCGCTCTCTCATGAACTGCCACTGATTTGTGGTCATATCGAACGTACACTCAATGATCTTATTGTTGTATTCCTTGAGCTGTTTCGTGGCCTTCATCTGAGCGAACGGCGGGTCGAATCCGCCGACGAATAAGTGGCCGCTCGTCGTCCTCAACATCCCGGGCCTGTCCTCCACAACGATCTTCAGCCGAAAGTCCACCGAATTATGTGTCGGAGGCTTCCATTTGAGGGTAACATTGCACTGACCGGCGATGTACTTGTCGGGCACGGGTTGGAAGATAAGGCCATCGATTTCGTGGGGCAAGTGTTGCGTAAACTTATCCTCGAATATCTTATGAGTATCTCTCAGTTCCCAGAAATCCTTTTTGCGGACACCGAACGGCTCGAGAGCCCTATCGATAACGTTCTCAGTCTTAGCCCTCTCTCGTGGACCGATCAGCTCTTTGTCGATACAAAGCATACGCCTCCTGAAGTCCGTTTGTCCCACTTCTTGGCCCTCGAATGTGATGATGTCGTATATGAGATATCGGGCGATACTCTTGCCCTCCACCGCATCCACAATCATCTCTCCGTCCAATAGAGTGTTGACTAAGTGTTTGGGAAACTCTTTGCGTTTAAAGAACTTTATGCCATCGATCCGGAAGACAGTATTGTCTCTATCGATGAAATAGCACTCATTCTCGCCCTCGATGTACAGCATATAACGCGCGCCGTCAGCCTTCCAGCTCACCATATACTCCCTGTCCGCCAATAACCCAATGTTCTGGTTATCCATTGACACGGGCTGTGAGCCGGGAAAGTTACGGCCCGGCCAATGACATAGTCGTCGACACGTGTCCTGAATATGTCGCACTTTGTTGAAGTCGGTGACAGTCGTCACACCACTCACGCCTTGCATAAAAGGCTTACCCCTATTACTAGTACCCGTATAATGGGATCTATTCGTATGATTGGACTGCGAATTATGTCCATTGATGGCATTGCCGTCGTCGTCGGTGTCGTCCGACTCCGTGCACCAGTCGGGCAGCGGTGGGGCGGGCGGTGTGTCGTCCACATCGCCGTACCGTCGGAACAGCTCCTGGAGGTACGAGTGCTTGTATATACCGGGCGGTCGGGCTCTGGCGAAGGCGTTGACGGCCGCCTCAACACTCCAGTCGTGCTTCTCTATGAGAAAGGCACAGATCAAGAACCCGGTCCTATTGAAGCCATGGGTGCAGTGGACGCCAATCACGTGCAACGGGTTCTTCGAGATGTAGTTATAGCAACAGTTGACAAACAGCTGCGTCTGTTCATCGGTCGGACACTCGTCGTGTCTGTCCGTCCGTCCCATCAAAGCATACAGTTTTAGAGACAATCAGACAATCGGGTCCATGGCTTACATACCCTCTGCACTGGAATTTACAATAATTCACATCTTTCTGCTCGACAATTGTCTTGTCGTAGAAGCGAGAGGTGAACGTCAAGTCTATCCAAAGACCTAATTTGACCTGAAATTGTCGATACAATGGACACAATTGATGGTAAACTCAGTGATCATTAGCCATACTTTGTATGCGTTGACAATCGATATAAACATTTGTGGCGTAAATAAATCGGATGAAGGGATCTGTGACTTGTATTTGTCATCCAATGGTGTCTTAAATGGTATGAATTTGTCTATAAGATTATGAGACAATCAACGCATTAATGAAACTCAAGACAAACGAGTGGATCAATTGGCAGACCAGCGATGAGGTCACCCTTTCGCGGACACTTCAGCCAACGCGGCGGTAGAGACAGTGGCTGTCCATTGGGGCCGTTGGGTCTCGAGGTGTAGGAACTCATTGGAAGCGATGACTGAAGAGTTAATGGCAACTGATTTGTGGTTAAATTGATTCAAACGACAATTAAATGCGGTTTTTGTGATGATTTTTGGTCATTGAATGAACAAAATACAGACGTCTGGCACTCATTCATAAATTACGTGTCATTATAGTCGTGACAAAAGTTTATCATAAATTCAATGAAATTAATTTTGATAATCAATTATTTGTGATTAAAGTTTTTATTACTTATTTGTAGTCTATTATAGATAATATATTCATTTTACACTTTTACTAAAACACTACATTTAATGTGATTTTAATTTTGTAACAAATCCAAAATTGAAATTCAATTCTGTAATCTATTGTAATCCTATTTTAAGCCACTGGACATTAACCTAACCTAACCTAACCTAACCTAACACACTGTATTAAAGTAGATATCCATGGAAAGTATTATAATGTTTTATGATATTTCAAATAAAATATTTAATTATTGGAATACTAATTATAATTATTTGTTAAACTTAACCTGGAGTACTTTTTGATAAATATTTAAATAAACAATACATTCTGTAACAAATATATCGTAAAATGAAAGAAGCCAATTATCCTTGGTACTAACCTCTCGGGTTTGTACTTAAATTATCACATATTTAGGGTTAATACAAAGTTTCAAACGTGTTTTAAATGATAGTGAAGTGTCTTATCGTCTCTATTATATTGGCTAATCTCAACATTTCTATGAAATCTCTATTAATATTCTATTCACTAAACACTTATGTAAACTATTCTCACATTCATTAATTGTTAAGAATAATGTATCTGTTTGTAGATAATACTTGTTATTTCATATAAATTGGATTTAGTTTTCACTCAAATCTAATATAAAGTATTTGCTTAGTTTCATACAAATTATTTTTCAAATACAATTGGAAAGCAATCTGTTTATAAAGTGTTTTAAATTTAATACTCATTTTTATACAAATGGACAATATTTTTATTTTACTAATTCTACAATTGCACAATACTTTTGGTTTGTACTACATTTAATAATTTAATTTAGTATATTAATACAAAAATTTATTTTAAAAATTATAATCTTATTAATAGGAGTATCAAGTCCATTGACATCCAGCACCGGGAGTCCCAATACTACGGAATACCTATTGATCGAGACCTGCGGTTTTGCTTCTTTGACATTCTTCGGTGGCATACTATTAGGTGTAGTCCTCACTGTTATCGCATATTTTGCTGTCATTTACTTTCATATTAGAAAATAATAATATTTCAATCAATATCTGAATACTATTACAAAATATCATTCTTATTGAATATTCTATTCATACTTTCAATTAATTGTTAATTATGTTTAGAAGTAAAACCTACCTAGAAGTATATTACAATTCATCATATTGTTTAAAATCAAACACTTGTCAAATATATACAATTTGTCAACTAATATTTTTTATATTAACTAGTAACTTTAGTTGAAAGTTATCATGATATGTAAATATTTGTGTTAAATGAAAAGTTACAATAATTGTACAGTATTACTCTTTAAATTACTTTTAATTTATTTCCGAATAAATATAACAAATTATTTTTTGCCAAATCGTTGAATTTCTGTAATATATTATATATTATGCGTAATGATCGGGAAACAAAATTCTTGTATATAAGTTCAATTAAAGAATTAAATTTATCTAAATTATTCAGAATATTCCTGATAAGAATAAGAAAATATATACATGTATATATTAATCAAGGTATTTTTCATAAAATATACTTATATTAGAACTTTTGTACTGTACAATAGTGTAAGTACAGTATGTATGATAACTAGTATATTGCAAAACCATTGTTTAGTGAAGTTTCACTTTTTCACGTCTTAATACGAATATATAGAGAGATCTGGCAATTAGTCCACCAATTAGTGAACCCAACCAATAGACCGAAAAGTGTTCAAAAAGTGTGTTTCCTTTGCAGTTGAGAGTCATTGCTGAGGCGAGTATTGGGTTGAAAAAGCCTCCCGTCGTGTTGAGGGCTACAGTATAAGTGAACAAAATATTAAAATTTAAGTTTAAGTATTACTTTCACTCAATTACCGAATAAGACGAGTGAAACACTAGTCAATGAATTGATATAAATCGCCACTTTTTGACTCCAATTAGACGACTCTAACGCTATTAAACGACTTATAAAAGTAATGAGTCCTTCGATAGCCATTCCGTACAGAATGGGCACCTGTAGGGCTGCCTCACATCGGGCCACATGTAGGTGCGAGTGTTGGGCCATTAGATGCCAACACCAAATGCATTTTGTGTACCTTTTAGTTTTAAAAATATATTTCTAATTTATAAACTAATTAGAATAATAATAATAATTAAATTTTTATTATTACTTTTCAGTAACGATAGCGCCTAATAGCTGACCCAAAAGTTTTTGCAGTATATGTTTGGAAGTAAACGACTGTCCAGTGAGTAGGCAGTCCTCAATGGGACCGCAAGGACATGCCTCTGCATCTTCAAACACATCGGACCACCAAATACACAGCAATAGTAATGAGACTCCGAGACCAATATTTCCATGTATTTCCCACACGACTCCTAATATACCATAAATACAATATTTGTTATAATATTACAATTGTATGACAAATGCATTTGCATTGAAGGCTAACCCAATTCCGCACAATCACTGCATAACTCTAATGTCGATATGAATTCTGAAGTCAGAGATCGGATTGAATTGGGAGTGATTTTGAACACTATTTTTCTTAAAGATTTAAATAATAAACAATTTAATAGTAGAACCAAATATGGATATATAAAACTAGGAGCATATGAGGAATACATCGCTGTTTCCTATTAAGTAGACTTTTAAATATTTATGTAATTATTAATTCAGTGAAAATCTATCGAAACCTGTTTTCAGAGAATAACTGTTAAAAACCTTCAATGATATTAGACTTGAGATCTATTTTTGACAAAAATCACAACTGTTGGCAATACTCCAGTCATGTCTTATTTAGACGTGATTTCATAATTATGAGCCCTTTTTGATAATGTAATCATAAATTTTGTGATAATAAGAGCTTAAGTGTTGCTTAACAACTTATAACACTTTGATATGAAATTATTTTTAAAATACATAATTATTTAATGTTTACACTTTTAAAAAAAGTTTTGTAAACATCCAAATATGTTAGTTGTGCTAATTAATTAAAAACTTAATATTGTAAAAAGATCTAAATAAAGTCTACAAGTGTATTAAAGTCAGAATAACTAAATGTAATCAAAAATAAATGAAATTATTTTATATTTACATAAAGTTTTTTATATGAATTGCTGAAAATATATTTAGAATTCTTTTAAGTCTAAATGAAGTATTTTGTACCTCGATAACTGCATGAATATAACTTTTGTTAATTGTTTAATGCTTTAAGAATTAACTCATATCTTACGCAAAACTTAGTTAGAAAATTAATCATAAATTTTATAACAACACTAAAGAAATAAAAACCATATGTACAACAAAATTACTATACAATTAAAATCAAAAACACATTTATTTAACTTTAAAATGCATCACAAATTAATGGATAGAAAAGTTATACTCTTTCTGACGATAATATTGATTCAAATTGTTGGACACAAAGCAAACGTAAATGAAAAGCCAATAAAAATCTAATATAATTACTAAAAACTCAAATGTTTTGTCCCTAAAGTACGCCCAGAGCTGCAAACAGCGAAAGCCGTACGCGTTTTGTGGGGCAAAGACAGTGGTGGGCACCCAATGGTACTTTGATATCCGCAAAGACAAGTGTATGCCCTATAAGTACTGCATATCAGCCCAAGAGCTCGATATACCCGAGTATTCAACGGAAAATCGTTTCGGTTCTGAAATGCAATGCGAATACATGTGCCATAAGTATAGCAAACGATAAACTTTTGTGTCCTACTGTTTGTCATTAGAAATGTGTTTGAAATGTATGTTAAGGAAGATGTACGTGAAGACATCAAAGACAATGTCCGACAAACTCAATAAACTGCTGCTCAAGAGACTCAGGAAGACCATATCGAGTCACTATCAGCACCGGAACAGCCTTCAGGTGCAGAGTTTCAGTGAGTTTGAGTCGCGGGATGTGTCGCGATGTAAGCGCCGAAAGTCATACAGTTTTTGCGGATCGCATACAACCACTCATATCCACTGGTATTACAATAGGCGACAGAATCGCTGCCAACCCTACACTTACTGTGAACTCGTGGACAACATTCCGGCCTTTAATACCGAAAATAATTTCTATTCAGAGACCGAATGCAACAAACTTTGTGTTCAATAAAAGCATAATATTTGTAATAAAAGTGCAGTAATTCTTGTAAACAATAAATTTATTGCTTATTATTGCGTTCAATGAATGTGTTTAATAGACAGTTGAATACAAGCCAATGAATTGGAAACCAATGAATAAATTGAATTAATATTTTCTAGTACTCTAAGGAAATATGTATGGTTAGGCTACTGGTGCTGTGTTTAGTTTAATAACATTAATATAATTAAAAAATCATTAATTATGTCATGAATTTATAAATATATTTGACTTTTCATTCAAAATAAGATTCTCTTTACAGTAACACAAAGTTTTCCAAAAAAAGTTTCATTTATTTTCACGTTATTTGTGTCAAATAAATGGATTTCTTTTGAATCTATTGACAGGTTTTGAGACAATTTGTGGTGAATTGGCGAAGAGATTGACGAAGAGATTGTCATCGGATTTGGTTTCAAATGAATCCCAATATGGGATCAAATGTGTTGTCAAACACTTCTGGAGGACAA